ATAATCCAAAATGTTGCTGATACTGAAGAACAACTGAAATTCTCATACATTGCTGGGGGGCGGGGGGAGAGAAAATAGCACAGCCACTTTAGAAAATAGTTTAGCAGTTTTTTAAATAAAGTTAAAAATACACTTATCATATAAACTAATAATTCAATGCCTAGATATTTATCCACAAAAGTGAAAGCATATGTCTACACAAAGACCTACATGAGAATATTTACAGCAGATTCACTTATAAAAGCCAAAAAACTAGAAACAACCCAAATGTCTAACAACTGGTGACTAGATAAAAATCCTGTCACATCCACACAGTGGAATACTACTCAGCAATAAAAAGGGACACGCTACTGATACATGCAACAACATGGAAGAATCTCCAAAGCATTATTCCAACTGATGGAAGCATAACACAACACAAAGGCTATGATTCTTTTATATGATACTCTGGAAAAGACAAAACTATAGGAATTGATGACAAATGAGCAGGAGGGAAGTTTATGGGGAACTGTGGTATTAGTTATATGACTATATATATTGAAAACTCACAGAAATGTATACCTAAAATGAGAGATTTCTACTATTTATAAACTTTATCTCAATAAGCCTTTTTTTATGGACACAACTAACCTATAGAGAAATACAAGAACACTCTTACTCTAAAAGTAAGAATAGTGGTTACTTTTGTGGGGAAGGAGAGGGTTATACTTGGGACAGGACACATGGAAGAGGTTCTGAGATGGTTGGAAAGGTTCTTGACTTGGCAGTGGTTTTGAGGGTTCAAGATGTTTGCCTTATAACTCAATCTGTGCAAATGTATTGTATGGTTTAAGGTACCTGGTTTTATTTTACAACAAAAGATTTTTTGAAAAAGCAACTCTCTAGTGATGCTGACCATCTTTTCATGCACTTATTTACCACCCATACCTCTTCTTGGATCCAGTATCAGGTCAAATCTATTGCCTGTATTTTAGAAATTGTGTTGTGTGCATTCTTATTAATAAATTATGAGTTCTTTATGTGTTCTGGGATACCATTCCTTTATCAACTATCTTTTCTGAAAATATTTTCTCCCAGTCTGTGGGAGAAACCAATAATGTAGGAAGGTGGTAGTTGCCAGAGGCAGTGGGTAGTGAGTGGGCAAACAGCTGAAGACAGTTAAAAGCTTCCAGTTATAAAATAAATAAGTCATGGGATGTAATGTACAGCATGGCAACTACAGTTAACAATACTGTATTGCATAAATGACAGTGGCCAAGAGAGTTGATTTTAAAAGTTCACATCACAAGTAAAAAAATTCTGTGACTATGTGGTGATAGATGTTAACTAGACTTACTGTGTGTGGTGATCATTTCACTAAGTATACATATGTTGTAGACCTAAAACTAACATAATGATGTCTGTCAACAATAACTCAAAAAAAAATAAGGTTTTCCTGAATTAACATGATATCCCCAGCACTTAGATCACTGCCTGATATATAATAGTCACTCGATAAATATTTGTTAAGATTAAGAGCCCAAGCAATATATCTGACAAATAATGATATTTAAAAGTGAACAGAGTGATTTATTTTTGTAGATTATTTATTATTGAATAAACCAAGAGCTGTTTGCTCTATTAAATTAAAAAACATATACATTTTTATGGTCAACTACCCTCACAAGTTCCTACCAAAATATTTCTGGGACATGTCTGAATAAATTTTTCCCTACACAAGGCTGCCAAAGATTCAGTCAATAATTTTCTTCTCTGTGTCACCAATGAAGGAAAATTGCTACATTAACCACAAACATCTGAACTAGCAACATTACTGATATATGACATTTTATATATAAAGTACATATGGAATTAAAAATAGATAGAAGTATGCCTACTAAAAAACATCACTCCTGTTGAAGACTGAGGAGTGAAATCAAGTACAGACACAAATCTTTGTTAAGGTTATTTGTATACTTTTGAGTTTAGAAAATTTCATGCCATAAAAGGCATAAAAAATCTAGTGTATATTGGGCCTCATTTCTATTATTTTCTATATTATTGTTCCATAGCATAATACAATTATGAATATTTATATAAAAACAAGACACAAAGACTTTAGCCCTCTGAGTTATTACATGCAAGGGTGTAAAATTGCTAAGTTATCCTTCCAACTCATACTATTTAGAGTAGAAAACAAGCTTAATGTAATCTAGTTAGAAAAGCAATAATCACAATTGGAACAAACTAGAAGTTAGTATAAGGACACAGATTTGTACTTCAAGACTTATGAAATGGTTTTGATTCAAACAGACTATTGATTTCATTTTATTAAGGTTATGTTCAGTTTAATTCCAAATGGCAATTCCTGTCAACAATAATATAACAAGTACCAGCTGGGATGATAGTTATTACAGTAATTATTAAAGCACAAAGGGAGCATTTTGAAGACTGAATTATTAAGAGTCTTAGAAATACGAAGGCTTGGATATCATGTTGGTAAAAAACAGTATCAGTAACCAAATTTGATGCCAACTTGATCAAACTATTTGTGATTCTCTAATACACAGAAAAATGTCACAGTAAGGAGGCTCTCAAAGGAGGGTATGAATAGCCTGACATATCAAAACCCAACCTCATAATGAATCTCACAAACACAAAAAAATATTTAATAGAGATCTAAAAATTAGTTTAATTTAGTTTTATGGAGTATACCAGTGAAAATAACCAATCATGGTGGCTTTGATTTGGAAGAGATTTTACATATCATCTACTGATAATCTAAATCCCTCAATTAAAGACAAAGAAACTGAAACCCAGAGAAATTGGGTATGTCGCCAATCATCAAACAAAATATTAAGTTTTAGGGCTAAGACCAGAACCCAGGTCTTATGGCTTCAGTCCAGTGCTTTTCTATTAAAGCCTCTACATTTAATTATAGTGAACTAGAAAAATAAAGGTATTCATCAAAGCATTCATGTTGGAATTTAAGGTCCTTGGCCATCTTTCCTACTTACCTACCCACCCAGATTTGGCTGTGTTTTCATCTGTCCTTTCTTCCGGCCCCACACTCTGAGAGGCTGAGGTGCTCCTTCTCTAGCTCAACCTCGTCAGCAGTTCCCTTGAATCCATCCCTCCCCATCTCTCTAGAACCTTGCATCATCAACAGTCACCCTCACGCCCCTGTTTTCAGCCTTTCTGTAGGACGGTCCACAGGGCAGCTGACTTCCCTCAGAACAAGCGAGAGAGAGGGTCCGAGACAGAAGTCATCGTCTTCTGTAATCTAATCTTAGAAGTAATATCCCATCATTTCTGCCAAATTTTATTTATTAAAACCAAGTCACTAGGTCCAGACCACATTCAAGGAAAGGAAATTAATTACACAGGGTGTGACTACCAGAAGGCTGGATTACAAGATGCCATCTTAGAGGCTCCCTGCCAAGCTTCTGAGGAAGAAAAACAGAAAGGGAGTCTAGGTGACCAGACACTAGGGCTTCTTATGAAGCAAGCGGTTAAGAAAATGTAGTATTGGCACAAGGATAGATACATTGACTAACAGAATATAAAGAGAGCCCAGAAAAAAAATCAATGCACAGATGGAGATTTAGAAAAAGACAGAGGGTACTATGTCAGACAACAGGGAAAGGAGGGAGAAAAAAATTGTTGTCCATATGAAAACTAGGTCCCTAACCTTCCTCTTATACCCTTAAGGAAAAAAAACCTTTAAAATTCTTAGTGAAAATACAGGTGGCCTTTTTTTAGATTTAGAACTTTAGATAGGAAATACTTCTTAAACTAGACACAAATATGTTGATTTAAAAAGATGGGATAAATATATTCAAAATTAAGAACTATTATTCATCAAAAGATACCTGAAAGATTTAAAAACTGGGAAACACAACCAAAAAGATTATTGTCAAGAATATATAAAGAACTCCTACAAGTCAATGAGAAAACCACAAACAATTCAATAGGCAAAGGATATGAATGGGCACTTCTCAATAAATACATAAAGAAATATTCAATATTATCAGTGATCAGAGAAATGCAAATTAAGGCCACAGTGAGAAAACCTATTAAACTGGCAAAAATGTAGAAGTCTGACAATACTAAATGTCAGAGACAATACAGCCAGAAGATCTTGTTTACATTGCAGGTGGAAAGTAAAGGGCGGCAACCACTTTGGAAAACAGTTTAAAAGTATCCCCTGAACTTGAACATGAGCAATACTCCATCATGAAAAGAGTAGATAAAAAAACTGTGGTACAATTACAAGGAAATATTATATGGCAGCCAAGACATATGTATGCATTTTGGCAATATAACATGAAGTGTATAAAGTGGGCCTCAAATGATTATATGCCTTTTGATAAAGTTAAAAAGATCTAAAATAAAATAATTCCCAATGAGCATGGGATTTAGGATGATAATTACTTCAGGTCAGTAGAAAGAAGAAAAGGAGGGGACTCAAAAAGTTAGCTATAAATTACTATTAAGAATCTAGTTTTGGTTTGGGATGCTGATTCAGAGAATGTGTCATCAAACAGAGAAATGTTTAATCCAATTCTGTGTAGCTAAGATTTTTTACACAGGTTGCAAGAGCTGCACAATGCTTTCTTTGACTTCAGCTTGAACTTCAACATGCACATTTAATCACAATCTTCACCAACTCCTCTAGCAAGTATGATTTGTATCACTTATTACGGTGCATCTTGTATCTGTTGTTTCAATAGTAATAGTCTTGTCTCCTTTTCAAGAACATAAATATTTTGTTAGCTTAAGAACAGTATTTTTTTGACATATTTTCCTTCTCTGAAAAAATACTGACTGTATAGTAAGTGCTACATAACTACTTGTTAAACACTCATATTTAAGTTATTCTTCAAATAACTAAGGGTAAAGCTATGATTCCTGCATCCTAAATTCCTTTAAAAATATATGACTACCTCTATTAAATGATCCCTTGTGCTTATTCAGGGAAGGAACTAACCTGTTAAAAAAGACCAAAATCACCTGCCCACCTGTTATGGCTGAGGGAAGCACTGACGGGTGCAGGCACCACAGTCTGTAACCCTTCTCCTTCTATCTCAGTACCAACAAGGCAGATGAGCTGGAGGTCTGGTAAGCCCACGCAGTTTACTTCATGCCAACTTTTACCTGAAAGTGCATCATTGAATGGACAATAATATTTACCAAAAATAAAAGTAAAAATTCCAAGCTTTACCAAATACTTTGCTGAACAAACATCACTCACGATACTATTTCTCTTTACTATTCTAGTATTTTCTGTTACCAACTAATTCCAAATGTAATGAATGAAGAAATTATAAAACTGACTATTAACAGCAACTGTATAAATGTTATATCCCAATCCAACTTCCCTCTTCCCACCACAGTCCCAATAACAAGACAATAATAAAACAAATAACTTACTCTCTATGAGATCCAGGTAAACCAAGAATGCTATATAAACTTGGGTGGCATCTCCTACATCTAATTCCATCATTTCTAAATACTGAAAATCAAAATGTAATTGTCAAATAGAGAAAGAACAATCTCTTCATATTTTCTTTCAATCAACAACTATTCATTAAATATGTATTATGTATAAGACACAGTTCTACATATAATGGGAGTTCCAAGTCAATCAACACTTGATCCCTGTTCCTAAAAAACTTGGAATTGTTAGGGTAAACACATGCGCACTTGCAACTGTTAGGTAAATCACAGTATATGACAGGTTTTTAATCACATGACATAATAGATCAGAGAAGCTCTACGCAGGTGGGTTAGCTGGTGAATGTTTCATTGGCAGTAATGGGATACAAGATGGACCCTGAAGGACATGTATGATTTAAGTAAACAGGGAAAGTAGAGTAACAGTGAGAGTATTCACACAAAGGTGGGATAAGCCACACATAATCAAGGGACTAAGGAAACCTATCTGCCAGGAATAGAGAGATTTTTTAACAGGATTTTTGTTGGGGCATGTTAGTGAGGGCCTTTATTGCTCTGGTCTCTTACTTGCCTGTGAAGTTTGCTAGACCACCACTCCCGGCCTCTGTCCTTACCCCTTCTCACTCAATAGTAGGGAATATCCAATTGCTGGATTTTAAAGAAAGGGCCAAACAAACTTCTGCTGCTTTCAAGACTTGCTGTTCAGCATTGGGGGAACATTTTTCAAGGGCCTACCCCTGCAGGGGAAGCCAGAGGTATTCTAGCTATATGAGTGACTGGGTGGGTGAGCAGGGCTAACGCAGAGGTGAGGCATCAGCAGAGCTGCCTGGGTGCAAATCTAAAATCACATCCTACATCAGCTTCGTCCTAAGTGTCAGAGCTAAGAAGAGAACCCAAGTTTCATGGTTTTAGTCCAGTGCTTTTCTACTAAATCACTACGAATTCACAGTGAACTGGAAAAAAAGAGACATTCATCAAAGCCCTTCATGTTGGTGATGTATATGTACAGGTGCAGGAGAACAGGGGTGTTATTAGTTGTCCTCCTCAAACCACAAATGTGTTTGAAAATAGCACTGGAAAGGTAATTGGAGATCAGGTTGCAAGGTCTTGATGGCCAAGTGTGAATTTTACCCATGAGGAAACACTGAGGATTTCTAAGCATGAGAATAATATAATCAAAGTGTTGTTTGAAGATAAACCTAATACCATGTTACTGGAGGGACCTAAGAAATTTTCACATTGAATAATAAAAATGCAGAACTGGAAAGTCAAACACTCAGTATCTTTTCTTTGCTTTGCTTTTGATGAATTGCATCCTACAAGAAGAAAAATGAAAAGGACTTGGTCAGGGCCTATACCGCCATTAACTTCAAAGAGAAAAACCTACAAGTATGAAAACTGAATAGTACCACCAAATCTAGATGACGTTTTAAAAACTTGTTACTGGTATTTCACTTTTTAAATACTTCATTTAGTGCTTACATATATCAAGTGCTTTACAAATATTAACTAATTTAATCCTGTAACAATCATATAAGGTACTTTCATTATTCCCATTTTATAGTGAGGAAACTAAGGAATAACTGCGGTTAAACAACTTGCAAAATAAATAAAATCACAAAGCTGGTGACAGGATTCAAACTCAGGCAGCCTGACTTTGAGTTCAGGGTCCTAAACCACAATGCTGCCTCTCCATGTTATGGTTCTGCTTTGTGGGGTACTAACACCTCCATGTTATTGTTTGTTTTCCACAACTGGAAGGGGAATAACAGGACAGAGCAGGAGGATAAAATCAAGTAAGAGAAGATGATAAAAGCCTGAAAAGATAATGACAAAGGTTTACACTTAGCTCTGGGCCCACAGTGTGCATCTTGATTTTGCAAAAGTGCAGAGTCCTAACTTTTCTAATCATGCTTTTTTTTCAGACTTGTATCTTCAAAATTTTTCTTTTCTTGACTGTTTTTAGAGGATTAACTGTGAAATATTGCTCTCCCACAGAAGACTGCAATTCTACTAAAGATTACTAGACCAGTCCGAGACTGCTACAGAACCCCTATTTTTATTCACTATCCAATTATTACTTGGAACTTTGTTGGTACAAGGCAACAATTTGCCAGGCACGAGCAAGCAATCAACTCTCTTTATCTCCCTTGCTGTCCATACAGCAAAACACACCCACAATGTGAGTTATTTCTGCTTTAGGGTAGACCCTATTCAAGCTTTTCAAGAAACGTGAAAGCACATTAGTCTGCGCTTTGGCAAAATCAGACACACACTCAGGGCCTGTGGCTAAGTGTTAACGTGACTGTGCCTAAACCTTTAGCATTACAGACCTTATCCACACAGAGATTGAGACAGAGATCTCATCCCTGGCCCACAAACTGTTTTTGCGTGGTTATTGTGAGGTAAAATGACACCATCCCCAGAACGAGGTCCAGACAGCAAAACTCAGGTACGAGTGGAGTGGTTATTGGACTCTGGCTTGTGAGGCGCTGGGTTTAAAGTCTTGCCTTCCGGTTAAGCGTGGCTGGCGGGGGGCGGAGGGGCTCAGAGCTAAAGTTCAGCTAATTTAAACAAACAAAAGCAATGTTGTCTGCAGCAGGCGGTGAGCACACCGGTCCTCCTCTTAGAGGCTCGCGCGCCATCTCGGCGATCCGGCCCTGCAAGGAGTCCAGGGCCGAAGGCGGGGGGGAGTTCGGCCCCGGGGGTCCGGCCAGCGCCCTGCGCCTCTCGCGCCTCCTGACCTTAGGGTGGGTGCCCATCCAGGCGTCCTCGGGGGCCCATGAGTGGGCGCCGCCGCCGCTGCTGACGCCGCCCGGGCCCAGGCCACTGCAGCCGGCAGTGGGCTCGGAATCGCCGCGCTCCTCCATGCTGGCCGGAGCGGCGCGCCGGTGGTGCACCGCATCGGTGGTGCACCGCGTCCTACGCCCGGCCGGAAGCAGGGGCGCGCGCGTCTCCGTTCCGCTTCCTCGCCGCCCGCTGCCTGCGCGCCAGGGGCCCTGATAATGCGGGGAGAATAAAATGCGCCCCTCCTTACGGCAGACCAAGCCGCAACCTGTGCCAACGCACTCTGGTTCCGCTCTGTGCCTGTTGAGATCTGGGCAGACGCCAGCGGGAAGAGGGCTCAAGAGTACCCAGAGCCCAGAAGCCTTAACTCTTGTTACATCAGTACTGTTACATGCAACTCTGTTGAGAGAGTGGGAATACTAGGACTTCTGCCTTCAGTACTGTGTCCAGGTCTCCAATTACTGGGAACAGGAAAATCCTCAGTCAGTGCCCTGTCATATAAATTTGAACTGTGAAAGCGGAGGAGAGCTCTATAGAAGAAATTAGAAAGAAAAAAGACAGGACTGAAAGGAACTGTATTTTTAGGGTGGGCCCACCTTTCAAGAGAAGAGGAGCAAGTGTGAACAGAGTTGCTGAATGAGTGATCAGAAAGTAGGATGCAAACCAGCGTGAGCATGTGACCTGGAAGCCAAGGATGTGGAGTTTTGGCCAGGCAGAGGAGAACATTTTAAGCATTTACAAATTTACTATGAGTGAAACGGGGAAACACTGGAAATTCCTCTTATGTGTGAAGCCCTTTGACTGATGTGTTGAGAATAGACCCTAAGGGGCGATAGTAGAAGCAGAGGCTGGTTAGGCTATTAGTTAACTATGGCAAGAAATGACTCTCTCAGGATTTGAAGTCCTGACAGGGACAGAACTGCTTCCAAGTATGACAGACTAATACCCTACTGGACTATTTCCCAGCAAAACAAAACGAACAAACAAAAAAAACCCACTTCTATATAAAACAGGTATACAATATAAAAAGCAACTACCTGAATATACCAGAATGCAAAGAGCAAGCTTGCTTGGAGAAGGGCATAAGAGGAACTGTACAAAAAGTCCCCTGTCCTTGGCATTTAGCTTGAAGGTAAGTGCAGTGCTGGAGATATGCTCGGCAGCACCATGGATGTTTGTGGAAAATCTCTCAATTGTTCTTCCCTGGGGAACCAGAAAAGTGAAGCCAGGAAGCTTTGAACACTGAAGAGATTAAAAATTCCAGAAGGAAATGAGCCCCTCCCTGCTCACATCTCTGACAGATCCTCAGCCACTTGAAGCAGAATCACAGCAGTTCGGTTTAAAAACAAAAGATCTGAACTGAGACTCGGACTCTCCCACAGGATGTAGAGTTTGCAGTTCAAATCCAGCCAAGAAAATTACCTACTAATACAAAGGAGATAGCATTCATCATAAAAAAATAATGGAACTCAGAACCTCTAGAACTTGTCATTCATAATGTCCAGGATATCATTCAGATTACTGACATGAAAATCAAGAAAATGAATCCCATTTTCTAGAGGCTAGCCCTGAGATGATCAAACGTTGAAAACGACAGAAAAAGATTTTAAAGTGTTATAACTATCTTCAATGAAATAAAACAAAACATGTTTTCAGTGAATGAAACTCTCAGGAGGCAAAAAAAAAAAAAAAATCTCAGCCAAGAACAAGGAAAAAAGCTAAATGGCAATTCTGGAACTGAAAATTAAAATTTCACAAATAAAAGATTTCACTGGATGGATTTAACAGCTAAATGGAAATTACAGAGGAAAAATTCAGTGAACTTGAAAATAGAATAATCATCTAAGAAATCACCCAAGATGAACAATAAAGAGAAAAACTATTTTTAAAAAACAAGCAGAGCCTCAGAGACCTACTACACGATGCCATATAATCTAACATACATGTAAATGGAATGCCAGAAAGAGAATGGGGCAGAAAAAACTGATGAAATAAAAATTTCCCCCAAATGGATGAAAGACAGAAATTTGCAGGCACAAAATGTCAAATGAATACCAACTAAAATAAACACAATGAATTCTACACGGAAGTCAAACTGTTGAAATCAGGCTAAAAAGCTTGAATGCATCAAAAATAAAATAAAAAGTAATGCATACTGGGAGAAGTGTATCTATTCCTGATGTGATGTAAAACCACACATTCATAAATTGCCCTAGAATGTATTGCATTTGAATGAAATCATTGACCTTTGCTTCCACCAAGCAGCTGTTAAGCCCCAAAGAAGCAAATGACATTGAAATTAATAGACTCCTTGAAGAACTGAACATTGACATTAATTCAAGTAATTAGAAGTACATAAATCTTTCTCTCTGAGCTCTAAAGATACCAATCAGTTCAGATGATGGTTATTTATAGAAGCATTACAGTATTTTGTTCCTAATACCAGTAGAGGGGAAATTTCATAAATCAGTTAGGAGAGCAGATAGAATCAGGTACTATGTGAACAAGGGTCAAACATTTTCAGGGGAAAATTCTCAGCTTAAGCTTCAGGAAAAAAAAAAGGTTAGGAAATCCCAGAAGGATGCAGAAAGAACCATAAACTGAAAAAGCAACTGGTTGATGCTATCTTTTGGCAAATAGACAAAGTTCTGTTGCTTAAAAAGAGCATGATACATTTAAGCATGAATATTAAATGCTTCTGACTTTTAATGTCACCGACTATTACAAAGAGGTGAAGAATGAAAAGAGTGTCTCTTGACTTCCATATTAAGCAATGAAACTTATAAATAAGTCTTGGTGATTGGGAATGGCTAAGAAATAAAATAAAGAATTTGGGGACACTTAAAGAACCTAGTGTGTAAAATATAGAATTAAAATACCTAAAGTGAAATCCACTAGAGAAAAGGTTAGAGTTTCAGCTTCTGATAGACTGAAGAATTTCTCCTTTTATGAATGCTTCAGTAGTTTCCTATATTAGAGAACTGAAGTGGTTAAAAAAGCTAGGTAAGTAATAACAAATACAATTCCCCAAGTGTACTGGATGTAATCAAATTCAGTGTAATCTGGCACTTGCTCTACTGATTTCCCATCCTGATATCTGAGCTAGTCCATTTTATTTCTACAAAAGAAAAAAATCTGAAATGTCTAGGCAGAGACTTACTAATTCAGTTAGAGTCTCAAGAGGAAAGAAGAACTTTGAATTGTGGTATGATTTTCTAGTGTTTTAAAAGGAAAAGGTTTATACACAGTATTGTATAAGATAATGATCTTAAGCTGAAAGCTAGTATACTGGGTTAGCTTTTAATTCATTGATTGTAAGAATGTTCATATATATCTTGTTCCTTCTTTTGTACACAATGAATACAATTTCCCATTCTCTGTGTTTCAAGGGAAATAGGTCAAATGGTATTTTTCTGTTTATGAGTATATGAGGGATCTCTATCATATAGAAAAGAATTTAGAATAATCCAAAATACATTCTCTCCAATTCCTTACAATATAAGAGTGCAATCTAAATTCTCCATTTACAAAATCAGGATACAGTGTATTTAACTTCCTAAAACACTGCTTACGTCTGGAACAAAGTAACAACTCAAGGGATATGGAGGGGTATGGATACGCAATTTACTTTTCTTGCAAGGTGTGGCTCTAATACCAGGATGATGCTGGCCTCAGGTGATAAATTGAGAAGTAGTATTTCCTTTTCAATTTTTCAGAACGTTTTATGTAGAATTGGTAACATTTCTTCCTTAAACGTTTGATAGAATTCACTAGTGATGTCATCTGGACATAGATTTTCTTTGTGGATAGATTTTTAACTATAGTTTAGGTTTTTAAATAGATATAGAACTATTCAGGTTACCTATATCATGTTAAATGAACTTTGGTAATTTTTGCCTTTCAAAGAATCTGTCCATTTCATTTAGCTTATCAAATGTATAGGCATAAAGTTGTTCATAATATTTCCTTATTATTCTTTTAATGTCTGTAAACTCTGTTATGATACCATTCCTGATATTGACAATTTGTGTCTTTTCTCTTATTTCTGTGGATTAAGTATGGATTGAGGCTTGCAGATTTTCATATCTTCCCAAAGAACTAGCCTTTATTTTTGTTGATTTTTTTCTGTTGTTTCTATTTTCTCTTTCATTCATCTCTGCTCTGATTTTTATTATGTTCTTTCTTCTACTCATTTAAGATGTATTTTATTTTCTTTTTTTAGGGTTTTTGGTTTTTTGTTTTGTTTGGGGGTTGGTTGGTTGGTTGGTTTTGGTATAAACTGATGTCATTGATTAGAGACTTTTCTGCTTTTCATGTACAGGAACTGAATACTATAAATTTCCCCTAAGTACTGCTTAGATATGTTGTGTTTTCATTTTCATTCAGTTCATTATACTTTCTTATCTTTCTCTTTTATTTTTTTGTCAGACCCACAGGATATGTTACTTACACACATATAGCTTCATTTCTAAATATTTGGGGGATTTTCTTCAGAGGTATTTCTATTATTGATTTCTAAAGCAATTCCATTGAGATTAAAGAACATATTTAAATGCTTGTATTTTTTTCCAGCCTTACTGAGATAGAATTGACATATAACATTGTGGAAGTTTTTAAATGAACAATGTGATAATTTGATATATATGTATTGTGAAATGATTACCACAATAAGGTTAGTTAACACATCTATTATCTCACATACCACCTTTTTTTTCTTCTTTTTTGTGGTGAGATCTTTTAAGAGCTAATCTCTTGGGAACTGTCTATTGCCAATCATAGTCACCACACTGTACATTACATCCCCATAACTTATTCACCTTAGAAGTAGAAGGTTGTACCCTTTTATCATCTTCACCTATTTCTCTCATCCCGCAACCTTGCAATCACTAATCTACTTTCTGTTTCTATGAGTGTGGCTTTTTTAGATGCCACATATAAGAGGTCATATAGCATTTGTCTTTCTCTGTCTGATTTATTTCAATTAGCATAATCCCCTCAAGGTTCATCCATGTTGTCACAAATGGAAAGATTTCCTTCTTTTATATGGCTAAATAATGTTTACACACACACACGTCACATTTTCTTTATCCATTTATCCATCAACAGACACTTAGGTTTCCATGTCTTGGCTAC